CCCTATTGGCAGATGATGGTACTAGCAATGTTGCTTTAGTTGCGTGGTGTTCACAGAGCATGTGTCCCATAACAGCATGATTGGTTTCAACTTTGTTTTGGAAGATGTTCTAGAATGGAAGCTAGAGGTCACAACAAAATATGGGGCTTACCTAATTGCATAGTGTATCTGACTTTCATCTGAAAGTTTCAGTGTTATGAATTTCTTCAATCCCTGCCACTAAATGGAACCTTGACACAAACCATGTTGTTTTCCTCTCCAGTTTACTCTGTAATCCCTGTGAACCCTATAACTAAATTGTGAAAAGGAACTTGTAGCAATTAGGAAACTTCAGTATAGCAAGATTTTGTTTGATCTAACCTATCATTGCCATGTGGTGCAAGGTTTCCCCCTATTTCAAGTCCTGTATTCTAAAGATGCTGAATGAAATATTGTTTTCACCTTACTGCTGAACATACGTGGCCTACTTTCTGTTATTGTTTGCATGAAATTACACTTCAGTGTTTCACAGTGCCTCACTAGATAATTTAATTTGCTACTGAAATTTTCATTGTGATAATGAATTGTAGCTAACCTTTATACTTGTCATCAGGACATTGGAGTGAGCAATATTGCCATTTCACTGTGAGATGTCCTTGATAGTCTTATGTTGAAGTGCTTAATTTATTGCTGTGGTGAAAAATTGTCTTCGCTTGAACAAAATATAAGCCTGTTGGTACAGTAAGTTCTCTTTGAATGTTTTAAAAATGGTGTTTAAATTTATAGTTTAAATGACATAGACTATTCAATTTTCGTAACTGTGTGACAGCATTTCCTATTATTTTGTAACTGGGCACAACTCAGTATTACCTTCTTAATTCTTCATGCATTATTTGCGGTCTGTTAATTCCCTATTTTACATTTCAGAGATTTCTGTTGCTGTTATATCTGCTTCATTGGCAGTAATGGAAACATTAAAAGTGTACGTACATACTTACATGTGTACGTACACACACATGCACATACTGACAAAGAGTTTGTCCAAACTCTCAAACATGTCAGAGAGCATATATCATTCATTTAGCAGGACATGACATTCCTAGCCACTCACTTATCACTTTTACATAATTAACAGTAACAGATTCTTGACTGGTTTATCTATAATTTAAGTAATTAATACATCCATATAAGTGTCATGTTCAGTCACATCTGTTAATTGTGTACTGGCATCTCTCATGCATTGCAGCATCTTACATATGCCATTCTGGTAATCCATGCTGGGTTTAATTATGTGTAATGAGATTATCAACTCTGCTTCTCCTGTTGTGATGGAACAGCATTGGAACTTGCATGTGGAAAATACTTGTATATTTTCACAAACATTTAGGATATATGTGCAGATTTGCGTTGCTAACTGGCATTTATGTTGTGTTTACATGCTTTAATAGGGTTCACATCTGATTTGTATTATGTAGGTGTGTTCAGATTTAAGTTAGAAAAAGCCAACTGTCCAGATAGGTAATTGCGGCTTTTCAGGATTTTCAAATTGGCTGTCACTGCTTTTATCCATGTTCTTCCTAATTCACCCTTCATGATCAGTCTGGCACATTGTTTTTATTAAATATCCTCTGCAGTTGTCTCAGCCTCATTAAATAACTGAAGAATACACCATCTCTCAGTCTGTATTTAAAGCAGTTTTGCAAGTGAGATCAAATATTCCTGTGTCTTAATATGAACCGTCATTGTTACACCACTGTGCAGGGAAGGAGGAACATCTGTTGTCCATATTTTAGGGAAGTAGAGTTAGGTTTTTGATCTGTAGTTAGATGAGCTGAGAAGCAGAGAAAATTTTAAGGAACTCTGTACTTTTGGCTTTTCATATAATGCTGTGAATGCATAAGGGAAACTGGAAAGAATTTAGTCATGGCATACTTGTACCAAGAAAGGTATCATCTCTGGTTTTACGGGGAAGCTTAAGGCTAGAAGCCACTTGGAAGACCAAAACAAAGATGGTGTGACAAAATTAAACTAGATTGTGCTCATGTGAACTGAATAGAATTGCTGAGGACAGTGTGCAGTGGAGGAGTTTTGTAGTGGCCTAAAGGAAAGGGACTGTGTTAATGTCAACTGGATAGAACTAGTTCAAAGTGGAAACCTTCAGTGCTTTCCTGTGACCTTTGTATTTCAGAACCATGGATGACCTAATAAGTATTGACTGTTCA